ACTAATAAACAGCCAATGTGCTAGTAATATGCATGCTAATAAGCAACTAATTAATAGCTAAAATTTGGTCCTTAAAATAAAGTGTTACCATATATATACAGTATATATTTATATACATACACACACACTAACAGTCAAATGTTTAGATTAAATTCATATTTTTAATGTTTTTGAAATATCTTATGCTCTTATATGTCTCTTATGCTCACCAAGGCTACATTTTTTTGATTAACAATACAGTAAAAGCTGCATTATTGTGCAATATTATTACAATTTAAAATAACTATTCTTTACTTATATGTCTCTTATGCTCACCAAGGCTACATTTTTTTGATTAACAATACAGTAAAAGCTGCATTATTGTGCAATATTATTACAATTTAAAATAACTATTCTTTATTGTAATATGTTTTAAAATGTAATTTATTTCTGTGATGCAAAGCTCAGTTTTCTTCTGAATCATTTCAATATGCTGATTTGGTGCTAACTTATTATTAATTATTATTGGTTATTAATATTAATTATTAATACATTATTAATTATTAATAAAGCTCTTATTATTAAGTTTATTTAGTTAAATAAATGCTGCCTTGGTGAGCATAAGAGTCTTCCTTACAAAATAAAAGGTGGAGAAAAAAAAAAAAAAAAAAAAAAAAAAAAAATGACAAAATCTTATAAATCTATGCTTATATACGTATGTATATGATTGTATATATGATAAGTATATGATTCTGATAGAGAGGCCGAAAGGGGCTGGGAACATTGCTGAACACTTGGAGATGCACCATAATTTTTGGGAAATAAAAAGCCTCTTTTGGGGAAATAGTGATTATAGTCTAGATCTCGAGCATGTTTCCTCTTCAGAATCATAACGTGCAGTTAGAATTAGGTAAACAATGACAGTAATATCTTTTAAAGACACACAAAAGTAGCAAAATGCAGTTGTAATTAAATTGGTATTTGTTGAGCCGCAATTAATTCCGAATGATGAAAAGAGTGGGGAGACAGAAACACAAAACATATCTGACAGTTTAATTAAGGATATTATCCTAATGGATTTGTGACTAGAGGAAGAATGAAACGGCCGATTGTGATGGGTGAGTGTGCGGGGGATATAAAAGGCGAACACGCAGGCGACAGGAGAGCGAAGAGTGCATTTTAATGGGCAGCGAAACACCATGCCTAATGACACTGGCTCCTGATTCCCTGCCATGTCTTACCAATGCTCACAAATGACTCCAGGCTTCTATAATTTGGACCACTGAGATCTAAATGAGGGGAAATTACCGTTTTATCATCAAATTCAATCATAGACTGGCGTCAGGTGTCTCGGGAGACCGGGTGAAGATGGTTTAGCATTTAAAAAGCTTCTCGGCTTTTGAGAATATGGCTTGGGGAAGGTGAGGAGTGCTAGACAGTGTGAAGTGCCACTGAACACATGCCTTAGAGCAGACGGAGCTCCCTGGCTGGGTGACCTTTCACCAGCATGATAGTGTGGCACAGAGTTCATTACAGCCGTGTTGAAAGTGTAGCTAGAGGCCTGGCCACGGTTCTGCCTACTGGGAGAGTCCCCAAAAAGGTTAAGCCTCCTCTCTCAAAGGAAGATCTTGCCCCTCTTCCTAATCCTGCTGTGCGACTTTTTTGTATGTAATTTTGTCTTTTTTTTTTTTCCTTTTTTGAATATCTTGATCTAGTCTGTTTTTGATTCTCATTATATACTTTGTATATTTTAATTTATAGTTGTTAAAACTGTTTGGGTAGTTGGTGCATAATGTGCCTTTTTGGGCTTTTGTGAGTTTTATTTTTTTATCAATATGTTTCTAGATTAACATTTATATGGATGTTTTAGGGAAATCTTAGGTCATGTAACTGGTAATTAGTTCTTTTTTTCACAATTTTTTGTCACCATCCTTAATGTTAATTTTAAATGCTGGTGATTTTTACATATGCAGCCTCTCAGTTATATTAAAGGGGTCATATGATGCGATTTAAATTTTTACTTTCTCTTTGGAGTGTTACAAGCTCTTGGTGCATAAAGAAGATCTGTAAAGTTGCAAAGACTAAAGTCTCAAATCCAAAGAGATATTCTTTATAAAAGTTAAGTCAACCACGCCTACCTAAAACGGCTCGTTCTAACACGCCCCCACATGTCTACGTCACAATGTGGGAAGATTTGCATAACGCCACCCAAATGTTCACGCAAAGAAAGAAGGTGTAACTTTTATTCTCGCTGTTGCCGTTGCCGCCATGTTGTGGAGACGCTGTGTTTCGTTGTGAAAGCGAAACTACTTTCTTTGGCCTTCCAAAAGAGGACGATATCCGCTTCGTCATGTCTAGAGGTGATCCGTGCTGGTCGCTGTGGAAATACCTCAACTTCGCGCTGTGGATCGCCGGATC